TATATATTTTGTGCTCTTTGCACAAAATATGTATCTAAAACGTCGTTTTCTGTGATATAAGTATTAAATCATATTTTATATTATTTTTTAGAAGGCGTATAGAACTAATCTATATATTTATATATATATATATATATACATTTAATAAAGATGTATCAAGACTGAATATCGAAAAGATTGTTCACATTGAAATAATTAGTCACAACACTATTTACCTTTTTAATTTTATACGCTGTGTATAAAAAAATAAACACTGACCACTAAGATATCACAAAACAAAACAATGTTCACTGATAACATATGAGACAAAAATTATAAGGCTGGCCACTACGAAATTCCAAAAAATATTTCAATATTTTCCGTTACAGCACAGCACTTTTTTAAATCGCGTTGCATTGGCGCGAACCGTGAAACTGACTGACGGGTGGGTTGGGTGTACAAAGCGGTGCGAACGGCGACATGCCTCGTGCGTTACAAATTCAAAATCCTCCCCATAATTTATTAGGGTTCCGTATCCGTAGTATCCATTGCTCGATAGATTAACCAAAAAAAAATTACATAGATGACAGATAAAATGTGATAGTATAAACAGAGACAGAGCTTATAAGCAATATTTTTCATAAGGCTGAATGCCTGGTTGGTTAAGCCATAATAAAAAAAGAAAATACTATGTTTTACATAATATAATAGGCGTACTCTTTCGTAAGACTGAATGCATGTTTGACTATGCCAGAATGAAAAAAAAAACAGTAAGTTGTTTTTATTAGTATTGAAGAATTCGATTTTTAAAAATTAATTACGCTGTTTTTGTTTATTATATATACCTTACAAACAATAATGTGCTTTATTCCAGTAATAATAGAAATCATAGTTACTAAAAGGCATTCCGTGATAAATTGAGTTTCAATTTACGTCGTATTATAACAAAAAGCCTATTCAATTTGAGCTAAAGTGAAGAAATAACAGATTGATGATCGACCATTATCATTTCAGTTAAATAGTAAATGATAATGTGAATTGGATGCTAATGCGTCTTTATGGTAAATCTTACATAATTATCTTATTAGAATAGTATAGCTAAATGAACGTATTTTCGTAGCAAATCGCTGTGAACGGAAAAAACAAACTTTTGTATAGTGGTGTGGTGTCACCTAGGCCGTCAGTATAATAGTTATCAATATTATAAACAATATATAGGCATATGTTATATGTTACCCGCAATTTCGTCTGCATTTTCGATGTAAAATATATATTACACTATGTTTGTCTGTATTCGTGATATAGCCTATATTCATATAAATTTTTAATAAGAATATCTCTTATTTCTCTATTAGCCATGAAAAGGAGATTTGAAAGAACTCTTTTTCAGCGAAAAGGCCGCCCATTTTTGTCATTTTGTCTTGGTTAATTGTTGTATATTTTTTGCACATATATGTGTATGTAAATGTTTATTTTTTTTGTGAGGGGAACAATAAAGAATATTTCATTCATTTCATTAATTAAAATAGAAAATCATTTATCCAAATAAACTTAATTTAAGCACTTTTGAATAATCATAACAAAATTTTTTTAATCCATTCGGAAAACTGTCTCTTCACAAGATTTTCAATTCATTGAACGGCAATAAACGAACAAACAAACAATCGCATTTTTATTTCCTTTATATTTTGAAACTATTTTCTTTATACGGAACCATTCTTTAAACAATACTTTCACACCCTTCTATATTTCATTCCGTTGTAATAACCATATTCCGTAAAAACATGTCGAATTAATCGATTACGTCCGAATTCTCTAACAAATTGTCCGTTATTAGATAAAATTCGATATATATAGAAACCGTTGTGCTCTATAATTTTGTATAAAAGAAAAACTGAGTGTGGACGTGATGATTCGAGGTGACAGTTGTGAATGGTGATTACATGGTGTCAATTTGCACTTTAGAATGATACCGCGCATTTTTAGAATGAAGTATGAAAAGAAATATAATATACTAGCTGATCCTGCAAACGTTGTTTTACCACATAAATTAAAATCGCTACAAAAAAATAGGAGTTCATAGATGAAAATAAAAATTATAAAATAAAATGTCAATTTACTTTGACAATTTAAATTTTCAATAGGAATATTTGAACTCAAATATACCGAGGAAAATCTGGGCATGTCAAGTGTTCAGCATGACGGCTGACCATGCTTTATTTTGGCTGTTTATCTTAAATTCCTTTACTCAAAAATTTATGTTAAAAATTAACAAAGTGATGGAGTGAAATTGGGACTTATGGCTGTGCAGTTTAATTTCTTTTACTCAAAAATTTACATAAAAAATGAACAGTTATAAAGGGAAATTGAGATTTATGGCTGTGTAGTTTAATTTCCTTTACTCAATAATTTACATAAAAAATTAACAGAGGTATAGAGGGAAATTTGAACTTTTGGCTGTCTAGCTTAAATTCCTTTGCTCACAAAATGTACATAAAAAATATCATAGATTAGATTATGGAGGGAAATAAAATAAAAGGTATGTTTGCCCACGTGTTACGCTTGGCGTAACTTTAGTAATGACGACTCTTTTGTCGAAATATCGCATGGCCAGGTCCGGATGTGACGAAATGCCGTCCAACAATATAGAGCGATATCTATCTATAATAAACCCATGCGTTTTTAACCATTAATCAAAATCTGTGCATATATTATTCTGCGTATGCCAACTGGTCTGTAATAGGTACTTACACATATTTAAAATGAAACCTTGTGTTCTGATACTTCTATGTAGTAATGGTTAGTAAAATACAGTATACTCGTAAAATAATAAACAATGTCTTAAAATAATGAATTCATTGTTTTTGTTATTTATAATGCAATTTAATGATAATTATTTAAAGTCTTAGTTCTTTTAGACGGAATTTGTCATGAACATGCTCTTCATGATCTGCTTCTTCCTTATCCCATTTATTTGTGGTCGGCATAATATATTTTTCTCTTCCATTCATCCTTGTTCGCACTCATCTCGTTATTTATTCCCTTCTTACCATCTTTCACACAGTCCATCCATCTCTTTTTCGGTCTTCCTCTGCCCTTATAACCATCCACATTCATATGTAACATCTTTCTTAAAATATTATCTTCATTCCTACATTCCAAATAAATTATTTATTATGATTACTTATAATATACTTATTAAAGTACTTATTAGGAGAGAGGGGGCAGCTTCCAACCTTTATATGACATATATATTTTACTATATTTATACCTACTTCCTTTTATTATTTTCATTTCATGTTATTTACTTAAATACCGGGTGCTCACTAATCTCTGTTTGCTCTATGGTCGACTGCGAGAAAATGTTAAGTTCACCATATGCACCTTTCGTTTTGTATTTGTGCATTAAAGTTTTAAAAAATAGATAAATAAATTATTGTTTAAGTGTCTGATTTACTTTTTTTTCTAATTAATGGACATAGTTATTAGGCAAATTTATAATAATGTCTTTCACTTTATAAAAGAATAATTCGTCGAAAAAGAATTAATTTTTGTTGAGGTTTGTAAAACATTTAACTGTATACGGCCAACTCTTATCACACACAGAAAACAGCATCCAATAAAACACTTTTTATATTGAACAATTATAATCAGAGCCATCTAGTATTTATGGTAAACATTTTATATTAAAATACTTGTAAAGCAAGAACCCGTGACATCGTAGTTTAGTAAACCGTCAATAGGTCACGCTTCGAATCATTTTACTTTAGCAAAGTCATAGTATAATTTCCGACAAGAGGGACATATGTGAATTATGTGTTAATTTCATACGTTACGGGGAAGTATATCATAATTGTTTTAAATTTGACGCGGTCATTATTTATACGTATAATTAGTAAATCCAGTTTACCCGTGATCATGGTGGTTGTGAAGGATGGAGGCCAAGACGACGAGCAAAAGAAAACGGCACCGTTATAGTTGAAGAATAATTGTGTATTAAATTGACTTATGTCATATAAAAACAATGTAGTGTTTATAAAATATATACAATAAAAAAGGTATACATATAAAATAGTTTACAACAGTGGTTGAAACACTGCCGAAATATCGGGAACTCAGCAAATAAATATAAAACGTGGTAAGATCCCGTGATTTTTACTAATTGTACGTATATATATTTTAATATTATATATTATAATAACTAGCAGCTACTAGCCAACGTTTTGATATATGAATTAATATTACAAATATTATAAACGCAAAGTTTCTTGAGTATAGTTTCATGTTTGTTACTCTTTCACGCAAAAACTACTGAACAGATTTTGATGAAGCTTTACAGTAATACAGCTTATACGTCACAATAACACATAGGCTATAATTTAAGAAGATATTAGATAAATTGGGTGAAATATAATAAGTGTAATGCAGACGAAGTTGCGCGGATCAGCTAGTTAATAATAAGAGTAATATTATTGCTATTAAAAATAAAGTTGATGGTAGAAGACCAAAAATTAAGGATCGTATGTGTTTTGAATATTGGATTATAAATAAAATATGTCAAAAAAACAAAGAAATATTTTAAGGGTGAGCCACCCTTAACACGTATGGATAAAAAAAAGTAGATAAGAACCTACCGTACACATATAAAATTTCATTAAGCCATTTCGGAGAAGTATGATAGTTAACACTGTGTTACGAGAATTTTATATATAGCTACTTTAATTTTATATCATAATATTTGATAACGTAATATAACAAACTTTATCCGCGCCGTTCTCTTTATAATAATAATAATCATCATCTTTATTTGTCTCAAACAAAAATACAATTGTTGCCCATACAATAATAAAATTTAAAACTAATTAAGGAGACAAAACGGTCTATAACTCAGTCCACTCTCTGCTATTCTGTTATAGCCTTTACCAGTAAATTAATATAATAACAGATGACTCTAACATTGCAGGTAAAGATCAAAATAAACTTAATACAGGCATATTTCGGCAATTAATATAGTCACTTACCTGGGCCACATAAATCCATTGGCGACGAGATAACAAACTCCTGACACTATTCCAGCGAGCAAGCCAAAGCTGACTCCAGCAGTCAAGGACAACGTGTCTGGCATTTCTTTTCCTCTTCAAATGAACTACAGCCACTGTTTGTATCACTTACACACTCACAATGTTCATTAATTTTTCTCTTGATAGCATTTAATTTGTGCCTGTAATTCACTATTTCATTTGTAAAACGTTTATTTCATAGAGTGTGTATAATTCCTAAAGATTTTCAATTAAAATCCAATGCCTATAATAATGAGTAACGATTGTACTATATACTACATTAAAGAGTAACGTCCCGCTTTCGTATCAAAGTAATAATTGTGAAGATCTCAATTTTTTTTAAAATGAAACATAGCCCATTCTACTCGCTGGTAATGAAGTTTTCTATAGGTTTCTTTTTTAATTACTGAGCAAGTGTTATTTTATCTTTTACTAACAAAAAATTTAACTATCTTCTATATAGTATTTAATTAGAAGCTTGAAGATTCAATTCTAAATAGATTCTCTAGAATATATATATAGGCTTTTTTATATATAATAATATATAGATTATAAATACGATTTCCTCCCTGATTTAATTTGCTGCATTTCTCTAATAATGTGCAGGCTGATTTGAAAATAATAAGATCTGAGTTTCTTGTTAAGTGTTAGTTAGTGATGATGTTGTTTAAGAGTGTCGAAAGCACTCCGAGCTGACGATAGATTTGACATATCATAAGTAAGTCTGTATAAGATCAACATGAATATAGATGTTGATTTGATTCGATAAGTCTAAGACATGTATAAAAATTAAAAATGTAAAAAAAATATAGTCTTTAAGATTTAAGCATACATAGGGACGGACAGACAGCGGCAGCGACTTTGTTTTCGCTGTCGCTGTATGTCCGTCCCTATGCTTAAATCTTTAAGACTATGTTTTTTTTAATCCATAAAGTGATGCAAGAGGAAGGTATAATATATGTACACTCGGGCAAAGCCGGGGCGAATAGCTAGTTTATCTATATAATGGATTAAATAAATACCAGTTGTTTTATTATAGGCCAAGGGAAACATGATTAACTTAATAGTGGTTAGGTGAACACAATGCATTTAGAAGTTGTATGCAATATTACTGTTGCTTCATACAGTGCAGCGGTCGAAGGTTAAGCATTCATTCTCACAGTGTCATCAGATAACGTCCAGACAATGTCCACGACGAGATGTCATGTACCAAGTCATGGGAATCTCTCGAAGTGTTCCATATACTAGAACAAATCACGAGACGATGGTAATGTTTTAACTAATCTAGAATTTAATATTGCAAGAGAAGATACATGATTTAATTCAATTTGAGAGAAGGTAATCATTTAATTAAGATTTGTGTTCGAAAATATTTGTTTATTTTTTCACAAATTTATATCTGGTCGAAATGGGAGCGAGCGGTATACCAGCGAAATCTTCAAAAAGATATTGATTTGCAGTAGTCTCTATGGTAGAACATGTATCTAAAGCAGTAGCAGGTGCCTGCCAGATTTCTATGGGCAGGGAGAGAAACACGGTAAAGGTCAGTGTTGACGTATGTTGGCAAAGGGCCTCTAAAACCTACACCCGGGTCACAAGTCCCGGGAACTGCTCATGGTTTCTCTCTCTACCACATGATAGATCCGTCGCATGTGTGTTCATAGAGTGCTAAGAAGATCGTCTCTAAAAAATCGTCAATAGTATTTAGTAGTAGTTTCGTAGACTTTAATGTTTATAAAGAGAGAGTTCGACTTCAGTCGATACTAAAAAAACTTTTAATAACAATGTACATTGTGACATTGATTAAATTTGTAACCTTTTAAATACAGATAGTAATTCATATTAACATACGAGTACATATATCTGTTTGTTCAGTTTTCAGTCATTTAGATTATATGAGGACGAACATAGACAATCTTTTATTACAAACAGCGGATGGTATCGTGGGAAACAACTATTTGTCACTATAAAACTATTAGAATGAATGTTATCAGATGAAATACTTATTTTATGATCAATTGATCAGTCAGTCAGTACCTATAGAATAAGATTTTTTTATAGCATAGATTACTATGGTCACCTGTTTTTAAATTATAACATGGCTTAGGAAAAGCGTAGTAGGGAATAATTAAAAAAATCTCATTACGCTTTGTTAAATTTGGCGAGTATCCAAACTGCCAAAGTTCAGTGATTTGGTTTGGCTGATACGAATTATTGGCTTATGTTGTAATTCACTAATAGCATAGAAAAAGCTAATATATTCTATGTTAATAGACATCGATTTCTTAATGTACATGGTTTTAATGTAACTTGTACGTAAATGGACTGATGAACCACCTGATGGGAAGGATCACCTTCCCATCAGGTGGTCCATCAGCTTCAGTAATCCAATCCAAACCATCAGTAATGTAGATTAATGACCACGTTACTAGCAATATACCATATCAGGTCGACCTCCACGCTGTCCCCTCTGGCAATTACCTGGTGAATGTTCCACGGTGGGCAAACCTTATACTCATTTTGTCATCCTCCACATCCTCTACTGATATTCTAAAGCTGTAGAGTTTGTTTGATTGAACGTAATAATCTTAGAAACTTTGCATGGAATTAATAAATTACCCTAGTGTTAGACATTTACTATTGTACAGAATTAAAAAAAAATATCCTAGTGTTTAGTATTTGAATTGAAACATTACCCTAACGATTGACATTTTCTATTGCATCGTAATTGCGTAGCGATTTCTATGTTAATTATCGCATGCCTCTTACTTGATATAATTACAGTAATTATTTATATAAAAAACATCTATTAAAACACACAACACACAAGTTTCTTGCTCATTCTTCTTGTGATGAATCTGCATTCCGAATGAGTGGTAGAATCAAAATATGACTATTCAAAAGTGCTTGTAATGAGTTTATTTGAATAAAGATTATTTCTATTTCTATTTCATCGAATTGAAAAATTATCCTAATGTGAGCATTTATCGAGGTATTCGTCTGCATCACACTTATCATTATATATCGCCCAATTTACATAATATATTTTTAAATTAGCCTATGTGTTATTCTTATGTATAAGCTATGTTACTGTAAAGTTTGATCAAAATCCGTTCAGTAGTTTTTGCATGAAAGAGTACCAAACATCCATTCAACCTCACAAACTATAGCATTTATAATATTCGTAAGATTGTCTATTCTATCTTGGCAATCGAGTATCAATGAAAACAGACGTCGCGCGTGTTACTTAATTGTGATATATCATAATGTATCATAAATCTATGTAGTGAAATAGGCATTTTAGTACAGTTTCTATTACAATTCTGAGATTGACGATATACTTTGTTGACGTGTGTGACTGATCACCGTACGTGTTACATAATTGCGTATTGGACGATTTTTCCATCGTGAATGGGCTTGAGTTGTGAAAGGTCCCAAACTGATGTATAGAGTTAAGAATCATAGACAGACTTATAAAGTACATTAGTGACCCGCCTCGGTTGCCGAATGCAAATGTAAGAATGTCTAATTTATATAATTTTAATACCGCAGTTTAATATTTTTTAGGCATTTCTCAAACATTTCGCACAGCGCCATCTAGTCCCAAGCTAAGACAACCTTGTGTCACCGGTATTAGACAACTGATAGGTACATACATTTTTTTGTAAACGCATACATAATATACATAGGAAATATCCTAACCAACACAGTCGTACTTATAAATACAAATGTTTGTGTTATTATGAATGTTCATTTTTATGTCTTAATATTAATTTAGTTCAGCATATCCTTTTAAACTAAAGTGAAAACACTTCAGTTTATAATTAAAAGTAGACTGGTTAAGAATAGAGATAGATATTGCTCATAAATTATGTCCTACGACAAGGGAGAAAGGAGAAAGGAGAAGGGAGGAGATTGACAAAATGTGATAATCGATTGTGACAAGAGTTTCGAGGAGTCAGAAAATTCGTCAAAAAAAAATCATAACATCTAGCAATCACCTCTGAGAGGTATCTTACATTTTGTGGTCTAAGATTTTTTGAATATTGAAAATTTTAAACGTGAATCTGAAATTATTAATTTCTTACCAATTACGACAGGGCAGTAGAACAATTTTAAGTAAAACAATGTTCCAACATCTCTCCACGCGGTCCTTATTGGATAATATCTCGCTTCATTATGTACCACGATGGGTTAAGAGACTTAATTTCAACGTTATCTTTTCACCCGTCATTGGAACTCTAATGACGGGTGAAATTGAACGACGGCGACATCACTATTCCCTCATCATATATAAAAAAGCGTGATGTATAACGAATGCTTCTCGGAAAACAGGTTCTTTTTTTATTTATTAAGTTTTACGGCTCTGGATACATGTCCATTTTAGCCTATTTATCATCTGACGGCCAACACTATCACTCGTGCTCATTGATCCAATAGCCCGCGCATGCTAATCATGCAATTACACAATGCCAACCCTTTTTACGAAATAATTCAGATTGCAGAAAGAGAAATATAAATAATCTTAATTCAAATAAACTAAATATATTTTTGTTTATTTCACCATTAATTCTGGCTCAAGAAGAACGAGCAGAAAGCTTCCGAGAGCAGAAAAGAGAACCACCACTCATTCAGACTCGTCATGCAAGAATCTCGCTTGAGCAGAAAAGAGAGGAAAAATATTGCACGTCAAAACGTATTGGCATTAATAATGTATTAAGGTCTATGGTCGCACATGTCCGTAGGTGGATGGTCATTTAATAACTTTTTGTCGTGTTAGATCTCGTTTTGTTGACTTTCGATAATGACACCTCTGACTGTAATGCGCTGTTACAATGGTGTGAAGTTTCTCTGTGCCAATCTAATATGTTGAGTCAGGCATAATAGAGATTATTAGATTATTAAAGATAGCATCTTGATTTGTGCGATGCAATGAGATGCGGTGTGGCTATTTCACTTTGGGAGAAATATTTTACAGCAGATTCAAAAATTTTCCACACATTTTAAGGACTTTTATCGACTATAATGAGGTCACTATGAATTACTGTGTCCTTATGCGGCAGGGCGAAGATGAAAGGATACCCACAGTTGAGGCTATGTACATATTTATATTGTAGATGGAAGATATAGGACTTGTACATGATTTATATTTACAATAATATATTACAAGCCGTTGAAATGAAGATGTTAAGGTATAAAATCCGCAACGGGGAAGTCTGGCTGTTAGCGACATTGGCAAAAAATGCAGGAAAAAATCTGCGATGGTATAGGCATGTGAAGAGACAGTCGCCTGACTGCAACATTCCGTTCCCGGTCGAAGAGGCAGATGCAAACTAAGGAAGGGATGGGAGGATGTAGTTGCTTAGCGAGATCACTGAGGATAGTGTTCGGGACAGGATAAAATGGCGGAGAAAAACAAGAAAAGCAGACACCACCACCATGTCACTAGGAAGAGAGAGAAAGAGATAGATATATTACATGCAATTGGTCCCGAATGACAAGGCCGGTATTTTTTCTTGTTCGCGTCGTAACTAGGCAACGGTGTTGCCGCGTGATGTTAGTAAACACCAATCAAAAAATTACTACTGATTACTATATTTAATAGATAGAGTATTTCTATGTGTTTAAAATTATATAGAAATGGTTAATAAAAATGTTTTTTTCATCTATATTATATCACTAGTACATGATAAAGAGCTCAGTAAACCCTAACAGAAGTATACTAGTCTGACCTTCTTATATATATATTGTATACTTCTTATTCAAAATTCCACAGCATTGTCTTTAACATTAATAAATATTTAAATTATTTGAAATCTATGTATATTGAATATTGAAGTATAAGTGATATAATTCCCAAATGCCCGTTGGTTATTATAATTTTTCAAAAAGGATGGGACTAAGTAGTATAATATACAAGTATACATATCTACTTTTGTAATGACAAGACAAATTTACTTATTCTTCTTAAATGTCATTTGCAAATGCACCAACGGTAAGCCATCAAAAAGTAAATTTGAGATATCAATCGAGATAATCAAATGTAATTATAAAATATTATAATTACATACAAACAACGCGATATATGGTCATGTGGTCATGGCAAACTCAATTTTGCTGCAGTGTTTGTTGGGAATGCAATGCCAAGACTTCGCTATAATAGCTGCAGATCAAATAAACACACAGAGCATTATTGTTATGAAGGATGGTATGGAACACTGGCTTATCTAGTTCTATCTATAGTAATATAAAGTATAATGAGACGTCATCGTCTAATAGTTTACTATACAACTCACATCCAAAAGGTTATGATGTCAATTCTGGGAAACATAAAAAATCCGCAATTTATATTTGTGACTCTACGGTGATCGATATTCGACCTTAATTTAAATTATAAATTTGAACATTAATTAGTTTCTATTTCCAAAGACTGCACTTCTATGTGTGTGCGAATCAAATACATGGTAGTTTGTGTAATGATTTTTAATTGCTTTAAAGGAATTTTAAATCATAATTAAAAAAAATATTAGACCCTGTTCTCTATGTAAATTATAAGTGCGCGAAATTTCATACTCCTCCGTCCGCGTAATGTTTGTAAAAGGGATTCAAAGTAGTAGTTAAAAAATCTCATTTAAGCACCAAATACATGTAGATCAAATTTACGTAACATAAATGCACACATGCAACTTTCCAATATTCTAAACATTACACTAACAGATACAGATTATCTAAAAATAGGCCTCTCTTATCACAATTTTCTTCGTATAACCTTGTAAATGCAAGTAAACGTCACCAGGTAATATTAGCAAGGTTGCATAGTTGACACACATGTGTCTCATTTATCACAACATAATGTGCACTGACGTGTTACCTATGTATTCTCTCGTATCTCAAGAGAACTTGAGTTTTTTTCGGACTACTCTAATGGTTTTGGGACGAAAAGCTGCAGTGCCAAATTATCAAAATTTTCATATAGTCTTGGGTATAGTAATCATAATTTAAAAATACAATAATTAGTTGATAATCCCGTTGTCTAATGCCATATTGCGATACGATAGGCGTAGTTTGGTTGCCGAACAGGCGGCAGTAGGCTTCCATGCTATATCTGAACTCTATTTATTGCCTGATGATACCAAGTTTAGAGGACACGTGTCATAATATGGGTTATTACTATGAGCGGGAACACAACTACTTATTTTAATAAAAATCAAATACTAGTAAAAATGTGTATTCTTCCCAAAAGGGCTCACAGCGAAGGAAAGTAAAAAACAATTTGTTAGTCAAAAATGACATATACAAAAATAGATATCAAAAATATAAAGCTTATAAAAAGAATGGTAGACAAGTTGCCAACAACATCGGTGTAGATCCAATAACAGATCAGAATTGATCACCTGTTGCGGGCTTAAATTAAATAAGACGAAGAGTTTCTTATCAGTTCTTCTTAACTAAAGTAGCTAGCCGAAATGGATGTTAAGGATAGTGATAAAAAATATCACTTGCATAAGAGATTGATACTGTCCTATGTTAATAAATGATTTTTGACTGATGATTTTAATTTTTAAGACGAAGATAAGCTGCTGCAAATTTCGGACAAACTGGTAATGGGCGTGAATGGGGATACGGCAGATATGGCTCAATTTACTCAGTTCATAGCGAAGAATATTCAGCTGTACGAGATGAGAAATGGATATCAGCTGGACACAGCAGCGGTCGTTCACTTCACGAGGAAGAATTTGGCTGAGGCTATGAAGGGTGGGGTAAGTGAGTAAATCGTAATATCCACACTAATATGGACGTCCCTCGGTTCTGTAGCGCATCAGGGATGTTTGCAGCACGCGGATAGATGATTTTCAAGCCATAATGCGGAATAGAACTGCATCGCTGATGTGCAGAATTCGGTCGCAAACAGTGTCCTAATTACTATACAAATATGTCGGATTGTCCAGTCCAGAGGCACTACGGACCCAATGCATCTGGACGTGGACATAGATATATGAATTGAGAGACAAATATATATGTTATAATTTATTGACTTAGTTTATACGTTGTTTACTAACATGACATGGATGGAAATCTAAAATAAATATTTTTTTTTAACATCATTTGTGGGATTCTAATGGTAAAAGCAAAATTTCTAAATTTCAGTCCAGTTGGTTTGAAGTGTTTGAAGAAAATCAAAGCTTTCTTATTTATAATATTAGATACTATTTAGGATGAAGAACATAGGCTTCTATAGGCTTAGCGGACGAAATTGTGTGCAAAAGTTGATATTAGCAGTGTAAGTTTATTGTAAGAAATTGAAAGGCATCCGAACGCTTCCATCCAATGTATTTGTTACATTCACACTTGTAAAGAAACCATAATTTAGAATGCCGACCTTAGAATGCCTCATCAATTCTAATTTCCTCTCAGTTGGATGTTATCTTATTGGAGGTAAATCTATTTCAATGTCATATCACAATGCCCAGTAAAGTTCAGTCATTATTCAAATTGCGTCACAGTAAAAATAACATTGAGGAAATAAGACCGTTTCTGGAACTATTGAACTGTTGTTAGATCAAAGAAATATTGTCAGATCAAGAACACGACAATAATTTAAAATCCGCAAAATTTTAAAAAATCTCATCATCATCATTTCTTTTATAGTTGTCATTGTTTGGTGATTTTCACCCACAAGTCTATCACCCCATCAAAGGGACATATAGTATATAGTGCCATCTAGTCTAGGGTTGCCAAGCCTAAATTTAAAAATTCAGGATTGAAAGTTCAGAAGACAAGGACTATCCAGTTTAAAAACAGAACGCAGTAATAGTGTTGCAATAGTTATATTAATTAATATGTAGTAAAATTCAAGTAATTACTATAATCAGATTTTTAATAAAAAGTGCTTGCTAAAATTATACTGTTGAAAATCAGTAGGTAGGCGCGCATATTTTAAAAATCCAGGACGCTCCCAAATTCAAGACTTCCCAGGACACTTCAAAAACTAGGACATGTCCTGGGAAAACAGGACGGTTGGCAACTCTAATCTAGTCCAAAGTTAAGTAGAACTCGTGGGTTATATGGGTTCTAGGCAACTGATATTAATACATAGTTATATTTATTTTGTAAATACATACATAATATTCATAGAAAACCCAGATCAATACACACTATACTCATGACTGCGCTAAACCGCTAGATCACTGAGTCCGTCGAATAACTTCATTTCATTCATTCAGAATTTAAGAGACACTTGGCGGTGGAGCTCTTGCCACTTTCCACGATGTTCCATCATGCTCTTTGAATGCTGATATGACACGACTCCAATTCTTTACGGTTCTTCAATGACGAAATTAAATTAATATAATCCTTCTTTTTTGAAATGTCGGTAAAAGTAACCTCAATTTGTTTGGATATTACATGAATAAATTTAAGTGATTTTTCGCTTGCATTGCAAGGTATTCTGTAATATAGCAAACGGTGCATACATAATCAGTTAAAACGACAACAAATATTTAATCAACCTCGTGACCGATTGTATAAAACGACAATAGCATAACGTATAAAGTCTATATAGATTTTATCATTATTCAGAAGATTTAGATTGCTTAGGTGGCCGTCTACTTCAATAGTTAGTTAATTTTTTTATTAATGGTTATTATATTGATTTAAAAGAGCAACCTGCAATTTCATACTCGTTGTTCTTGCGATAAGTCTGCGTTCCGATAAAGTTTATTTGAATAAAGATTTATTTTATTACAGATTATTTTTATTAAAGTTTATTTTGATTAAAAAACTAGGTTACTATTATTTATTTAAATTTTATTTGGTAAGTTTATGACTTTATCGTTGCACGTATTCTCACCATTCTCGGGTAGCTACTGAAAATCAGTGTTTTGCTCATTGACTAGTTTATTCACTGAGTAGCTTAACCCTATCACATTTCTAATATTTTTCAGGTTTATTGTTTTGGATATAAATAAAGATTTTATATATCTGTCTATCAATACAGATTTGGTAGCGAACTCTGAAACTAGGCGAGCACAATAGATATCTGTAATTATTCAAACTCCTAAATAATAATAAAAAAGTTGGTAACGCATAAAACAGTAATAAATTGAGCATTTCTAATATTACTAGACAGCGGCAGCGACTTTATTTTATACTATGTAATGAAGAATTTAGAATTTCTTAAAAATTGCTCAGTAACTTCTCTAATTCTAATATTTCAATACTGGCATTTCTTTTGTCGTATTTGTACTTCAGTCAAATTAGATATCTGTCCTCTTTATATATATGGAGTATAAAAGAAACACAACTACATATATTTTTCTCTCTCAGATTGCCCATTAAAATGCTATGATTTGCAAGTTTACATCTAATTACGTCAATCATTACTCGAAGTTGAACCCTAATTCTATAGAAATACTTTCGCTTTTCAATTGTTAGTTTTTGAACACTTTCATTTTTATAGTCATTTCTATTAAAATATCTCTAATAGTGGCTAATTATTTTAACTAGGTCACCATATTTAATTTATTCATTAAGACTATAGAGATAAATAATATTAAAGACAAACAATATTTATCTATTCTCAATTTGACCACAGACTTTAACAATAAACAAAAGAGTATATATCCATGTTTCTGTGTGTTTTAAGGAAGATGTTACATATGAATGTGGATGGTTGTAAGGGTAGGGGAAGGCCAAAAAAGAAATGGATGGACTGCGTGAAAGATGAAATGGTAAGAAAGGGAGTAAATAACGAGATGACTGTGAACAGGGATGAATAGAAGAGAAAAACATATTATGCCGATCCCGAATAAATAAGATAAGGAAGAAGCAGATCATGACGATGTGTATCCAATACTTGGTAATGTGTGTAATGCTTTTTTATAAATTTAATATATCTTTATGCATAATTTAATTTTAGCATTCTGCACTCATCTATACTTTATACATATAAATAAAATTGGAGTGTCTGTTTGTAATACTGAAATAATCATGTTTTACTATATGCGTATGAATATAAATACGGTACATACACCAAAATAACATTTCCTACAATTTTTGTCTGTCTGTGTGTTTGTTCCGGCTAATCTCTGAAATGGTCCAGCGATTTTGACGGGGCTTTTTTTGGCAGGTAGCTGTTGTAATAAGGAGTAACTTAGGCTACTTTTATTTTAGAAAATAAAGTCATATTCCACGTGGACGAAGTCGCGTGTACAGCTAGTTCTCACAATTTTCGTAAAAAAGTGTACAAAGTTTTTGCTTCATTTAATTGATATAACTTCTTTAACAGAATCCTTACATGGTGAACTCGCTTATGGCCGGTTATGATGAAAAAGTGGGTAGCCAGTTATACACAATGGACTTTATTGCGTCCTGCGTCAAGGTTCCATTTGCTGCGCATGGTTTCGGCGGCATTCTGGCTATGGGCATCTTGGATAGATACTACAAACTTCGTAAGTACATTTTCAATAACTGTTAATGGTCAATAATTTAATTTGTATTTGTAAGTTGTGAAGATAATATTAAATTTTTATCTATACAAATATATAATTGAAGTGTCTATTTTGTAATTTCATATTAACAGCTTTTCACTAAATACATATATGTCACACTTATGTATTTACTGTGGTACTGATATAAAAAAAAAAATTTTTTTTGAATGTCTGTCGTTCTTTGTTCTTACTTATCTTTGAAAAAGCTGGACCGATTTTAACAGGACTTTCAATCAATAACTTAAATATTTTGATCAGTTTTTTAGTACTCATAACACAGAATTTTCTTTGCATGGGACTGAATGGCGTTGTGTGAATTACCTAGAAATATTATATACTAGCTGTCCCCGCGGTTTCATCTGCATGAAATTTATAGGCTATATGTTATTTTGATGGTTTAGCTATATCAGTGTATATATAAAATTTTAACAAAATCAGTTCAGTAGATTCTGCGTGAAAGAGGAACAAACATCCATCCGTACTCACAAACTTTCGCATTTATATTATTAATAATAAGATTATTATTGTATAGGCAACGGCTATGCCACTCAATTACATAAAAAAATTGTAAACTTTCAGATCTTACAGAAGCTGAAGCGTATGAAATTTTGAAAATGTGCGTCCACGAGATACAGAGTAGATTGTTTATAAATCTACCCAAGTTTCAGGTGAAGGTTGTATCTAAAAAAGGTATTAGCACCTTACCAGCTATCACTACAGCGTCTTTTATACAAAATCATTAAAGATCGGGTTTGTACATAGTCATTTGCGTTCACACCTCTGCCTTACATATACTTAATGGATTTATATTATTTTGTTTATTTCCGCTACAATTAACATGTGTGAGACCACAAATGTTCAGTGTGGAAACTTGACAAAACACGGAGATCAAACCGCACCGAACAGTCTAGGCTCTACTCCAGTTAACACTAGGCTTCCAACCTGAACTCTATTCTCACATGCTAATTCTCAGGTCTCATACACGCTAATGGAAGCGGAATTAAACAAAATAATATAATTTATGTAGTATAACAGAATTCCGCAAAATAACACCCAATTCGATAAAATATTGTTGAAGTGTGTTAAGGCTGGATTTCCGTTGAGGGGTGAGATATGTCTGTGAAATTATAGGATAAACGGCATGGTATAGTAGTCTTTAAAAATGGCAACACATGACACGTGGGTATCACGTGATGACGTGATACTGTTCATGTATATAAATGACGGATACAATTTACCATCAGATGTGCCATTATCCTGATTATCTTTCTAGTTGTTTCAAGAAATAAAAGTAGCTGAAATAATATCATTGCTACTGTTTTCGAGATCTTAATTGTGTTTGAATATTCTTGGTTGTCAAAGTTAGATAATTGTAATGGATTGTCTTTTAACTTATTAATTTTGTAAAGTTATATTGTTTTTAATTTATTTTCTTTTACATTATCAATAAATGAGTATGTATTTTATATTTATGTCAATATTGTGTTTATTTTATACTTATAAAACATATAAACTATAATTGATATAGATTTTTTGTTTTATTTTATAAAAATAGAAAGACTACTCATATTCAACAGCCTCGGTTTAGCGCTTTAGCCTACTTCTTGTCTGGACGTGAGTTCGATCCTCGCACCGTGCAAACATATGTATTTATAAGTATGATTATTTGTATCGTCCTGGGTGTTTACTATGTATGTTATTTATAGGTAGAATTAAACCCACGTGTCAACTATGTATGTATTTACAAAATAATGTATTTATATCAGTTGTCTAGTAGTTACCCATAATACAAGCTCTGCTTAGCTTGGGACTAGATGGCGCTGAATTTCAAGGGATATTATTAATACATTGGTTGACATAACAATTTGTAGATACAATAACTTTAGAAAATATTACTTTTTATATATGTTACAAACATTGAATAATATTGTAGTATGGAACAGTATGTTAGTATTTTACATATGGGTTGAAAAATTGAAGGCAAAGATGTTCCCGACACAGGCTGAAGGAAACTACTTTAGGAAAGTTCTCGAAACCATTTTAATTCAAGTGCAGAGAATATTTATAGTTCTCTGTGCTGTGGTAAATTTTTAAGAGTTAGCAAAAGTTATATTATACAACTGCAGACCGAAGAAGGTGGAAAATTATGTGAGACATACGTCCAGCATGATGTTTATAAGAAAAAGAAGATATAAAAACCAACATATATTAAACCTTATTAGAGATATACATATACTTTAAAATTCGAAGTGTGTTGTAAAATTTTGTCATACAAGGAGGCCTCTCTTAATCTACTATATGATAAGACTTGTAATTAGAGACATTTGAATGTACAGTCGGCTGCCTAAAGATGATAACACGAAGCTGTGATACATGTCTAAGAGTTAGCAAAAGTTATATTATAAAAATCTACATTCATAAAACCTTATTAGAGATATAATCTTATATATAAAATCCTCGTGTCACAGTTTTCGTTCCCATACTCCTCCGAAACGGCTTAACCGATTATCATGAAATTTTGTGAGCGTATTGTGTTGTATTGGTCTGAGAATCGGCCAACATCTATTTTTCATACCCCTAAATGTTAGGAGTAGTCCACCCCTAAATTTTTATTTTTATTTTTTAGACAAAATTTTTAGTTTCTATTTTTTTGTGATACAACATACAAAAATACATACAATCCTAAATTTTCACCCTTCTATCATCAACCCCAATTTTTTTATAGCGTTATTAATTTATATAGCAAAACAACGTTTGCCGGGACAGCTAGTATATATATGTACTCAAATTTATTCGTACAAAAGAGGGCTCTTCTAATCTACTTGTATATGATAAGACTTGTACAATTAGAGACATTTGAAAATACAGTCAGATGCCTAAAGATCATAGCATGAAGTTTGGTCAAAACGACACAAATTAATTCTACATGAATAATACTATATAATAATACTATACTCATTACTACAAAATGTATATCACCATCATCATTATCGCAGCCCGGAAGACGTCCACTGCTCGACATAGGCCTCCCACAAAGATCTCCACGACAATCAGTCCTGCGCTGCTTGCATCCAATGCCTTCCAGCGAATTTGACCAGATCGTCGGTCCACCTTGCTGGAGGCCTTCCCACGCTGCGTCTTCCGGTTCGTGGTCGCCACTCGAGGACTTTACGACCCCAACGGCTATCTGTCCTAAGAGCTATGTGCCCTGTCTATTGCCACTTCAGAGTCCCAATTCATCGGGCTATGTCGGTCACTCTGGTTCTTCTGCGGATTTCCTCATTTCTGATTCTATCACGCAGAGTAACTCCGAGCATAGCCCTCTCCATTGCCCTCTGAGTGACTCTGAGCTTGTTCATGGGGCCCATAGTTATATAGCGTCTCTGTGCCGTAAGTCATCACTGGCAACACACATTGGTCGTAAACCTTTGTCTCGAGACACTGCGGAAATTTGGACGAAAAATGTTTATAGCGTGCGAGATATAGAACCCACGACCATCGGAAGTAAAGCGCTGTGCTAAAATGCTAGTTCACCGGCGCCGTCAATATACCTTATGATAAGAGTTATAATATAACCTCAGATAGTAATTATATCATTAATATTATTTCCGGGCTAATACTAATCACTGCACCACCCATGGTTGCCTGGTAGAAAATGCCATTGGTTTTGTTTTTACGGACTACTCTAATGCTGTTGGCCGCAGCTGGCTTTACAGCTTCACCGGACGATATTGGGCGAGCGCAGATGGCACTCCAAAGCCGCGGAAGGACTTATGGAGCGGCTGAAGGCCAGCTCCCGCCTGACGGATACGTCTAAAATGCCACTGGGTGGTAAGTCCCCGATATGTACTTTTACCTGTGTATTACGTGCATTAAAATTATATAAATAAATCACTAAGCCGGTTAACTTAATGTTTATTTGAGTAACTAAAAAGCAAGAAATCTAAGTAATATTGTATATTCACTAAATTCAAATTAATAACTTGAATGAACATGTTATGTTTTATGTAGCTGACTGTACCCGAGTTTAATTCACCAACTTCGTGTGTAACTATGTCGAGATAATGTAACGTAATGTATGTATACATACATATTACGATGTATGTATTTTATGAGTAGATAACAATGTAAACAGAGCACGTCAAGGTGTCTCAACAGGTGATAACAGGGGAGGCATGAGATACTCATTATCATGTCAAACCACTCGTAACGTAGGAAAGATAGCTATTCTGTGACAGGTATAGGACTTACGTATCATACCTGAACATATTTTGTATCATTTCATCATCATTTTTATATAGAAGAATGGACAAAAAAACTTGCAAATTTTACTAATATTATTAAAGACTATACATCTGATCAGATTGTGACATCTGTGGCTCCTCTTAAGCGTTGCCATTTCTGATAACAAAGTTGCTATTTCATTATACCCTATAATTTCACTGCCACATTTCAGTAACTGGAATATAGCGTGCGATGTAGCTTGCCTTCCAAGTTGTGCTGACAGCATAATGTGATATATCTAAAAAGTATAAAATTTATTTTCAAATATAATAAATCTAACACTAATATTTTTCCAATTTCCTTATTTTCTAATCATATCTCATACCTACGTGCGTTATACATAACTCTACTAGTATAAAGTAGATAATACCTTATCTAACTCTATTTAAATACAAAACATAACCTTAATTAATGGCTGACACAGTACACATTAAAAAAACTAGTATAGTTATTTAAAATAGAACCAAAACAAATAACACAGTACTTACAGAAGAATTTAGAATCACTTAACAATAATAGGAAGAAGTGGGAGAAGTTTGTTTGTTATGAGGATGAAACGAGAAGAAATTTAGTGAGGTCTTAGACTACCCGCCCGTCCAACCTACTGAGATGCTCGGGTCTCCAAAAGGTATTTTCCCCATGTAAAAATTCGTCTCTATGTCTCAAATCTATCCACCTCGGTGGTCTAGCGGGTTAACACGTCGCTTTAAGTACGATGGTCGCGGGTTCAATTTTTGGCACGGTAGAAACATTTGTATTGATTGTTTTTATCGGTCTGGGTGTTATCTATATATTGTATATTATATTCATGAGTATGATTATTTGTATCGGTCTGTATGTTTCATATATATTAAGTAAGTATTTACAAAAAAAGGTATATATTTATATGTTATCTAGTACCCATAACTCAGCTTAGCTTGGGACTAAATAGCGCTAGGGAAACTATTACAATTTTTGTTTCCTTTATCTGGTTTAAAAGAAGGTTAATTATTATTATTATTAATTGACATGCTGACTTCTTTCGCACCTTATCATCGTCAACTGGTCCTTTGCCATCTAATATTGTTACCACAAACTAAATTCTCTCCATTCTCTATGAATTTCAAAATTTTTTTATATGCTAGTTACTTTTGCTCCGTTTTGTTTCGTATTGTAACGAATCAATAAACTGGATATTTTGTAATAAACAAAACTGGTTCAAATACAAATTATGTGACACTTGTATCGCAATATTATCTGCTTTATCTATTTTAAAGCGCAATTTATTAAAGTAAAAGTCATTTTGAATGGTGTTGTATTGACAAAGCAAAAGTACTGCAGGGGTCACATGATGACGTGATGGTCATGGTACTGTTAATGTATAGGTATAGACGACAGTTACCGCTTACGATCAGGTTGGCTGTCAGATTAATTGCAATTTTAATCACACAAAAAAATTTAGAAGCTATTTATTATTATTAATTTTTATTTAAAATTTACTAATTTAGAATACAATTATTGTGGTTCATCTAAATATATATAACTCAAAGGAGACTGACATTAGCAGCGCAAATATAATATTAGCTGTGCCGGCTACTTTGTCTGCGTGGATCTTGGATATAAATAAATATTTAATAAACTCAAAAAAAAAGAGTGTCGTCGTTCTAGTTTAAAAAATGACGAATTTACATAGTGATCTATAAACGCACAGCCCAAACCACTGGACGGATCGGGCTGTTGGTATGCAGGTAGATGTTATGACGTAGGCATCCGCCAAGAAAGGATTTTGATTATTTATTATTTTTTACCCCCAAGGGGATAAAATAGGGGAAAGTTTGTATGAAACTTTGTCAATTTTAAACCGATTGGGCTTTGCATATATAAAGCTACTATGACGTAAGAATCCCCTAAGAAAGGGTTTTGATAAATTCCACCCCTAAGGGGATAAAATAGGTGATGAAAGTTTGTATGAAAGTACTGTAAAGCCGCAAAAACTATACCTAATAATAATACTTCTTAACGTGTGCGAAGCCGCGGGAAAAAGCTAGTTTATTATATGTATAGGTTGAATAGGAGAGAATATGACAAGACTTTAATTTAATTAAATCCTACTTT